CGACGATCATGTTACTACCGTCACTGTCACACCCCTAACCTAACCCCCATCACCACACCATTATTGTCACTGTCACAACTGCCACTCACCCCCACCCCACCCTACCTCAACCCACCACTAAACCACCATATCACTACTGTCGTCATCATACCCACACATTCCCATCCACCCGACCACCATTTCACCACTGTCATCGTTACAACTGCCACCCATCCCCATCACCTCCGCCCCGTCGCCCACTCTGCCCCCAACCTAACCTAACCTCCCACACCACTATTGTCTCCTTCACAACCGCCACTCACCCACACCCACACCCGCACCCATCCCAACCCACCACTAAACACCATGCCACTATTTATGTCATCATACCCACCCTCCCAGCCTCGCAGGCCTCAGCCATCTGACCACTATCCCACCACTATCATCATCACAGCTACCACCCCACCACCTATCCTTACCGTCCCAGCCCTACCCCCTATCACCTTGGCCCACTTTGCCTGCCCCAACAACCCCCGCTTATAGAGTAGGGGCGAGGTTGGGGTGGTGGGGTAGGGTTTGGGTAGGCGGGGCGGGGTGATAACTATGACGATGACAATAGTTACATAGTGGTTGGTAGGGTGTGGGCGGGGCAATGGGTGAGATAGTCCAAACAAAGACGATTATTCCAATTCTATTGAAAGATTTCATTTCAATTCCTACTAACCAAACGTGTGGCCAAATTCCATCAAATTTCTTTGATGGATTCCAATTCCATCAAATTTCATTATGTAAACCAAACACTCCCCAAGTTTTACAGTGTTTTTGCTATGAGAGGTTCGATGTTTTTCATACTCTCACACTATTTAATTGTAAAGTTTCAGTGTCATTTTCTGGTATCACAGATCCCACGAAAACATCTTGGTCAAAAGTGAACCCAACCAAATATATAATAGGAAAAGTGACAGAAATAACCATTTTCTACATATCAACTCATCTTATAGCCATTTCTCTCACAATTTCAGCCAAAAGTCATTACTTCCACAAGTGCCTAATCTGCAACTTAATGGAGGTTAGAAAATAAACAAGTTTGAGATGGGTTCCAAACATTTCATATTATATGTTATCAATTAATGTTCTCTTTCATGTCAAGGCTGCAAGTCCCCACTCCTAAGAGTAAACTGAATTTCACTTCATTTTTTTGAATCATCATTGCCTTCTCCGACAAATAAATTAAAATGAAGTTTTTCTTAGGGCAGTGCTAATGGCACCCCCCTTAGTAGGGGTGTTGATTGCTTGGAAATTGAACCAATAATTTTTTTTCATAAACATCAACTCAATTCATTATATATTTATATTTTATTAATTTTGTTTTATTTTATATATTTACATTAGAAAAATATATATTATTTTATTATTTTTATGTTACTTTATTATTTTATAATTTTGGTTTTATATATTACAGTTTATTACATTATTATTATATTAAT